CAGTAAACTCCTTTGTGTGGGGGGGTCCCCTTGATGTGGCTGGACCCAGGGGTGCTGGGTGAACCCCCCAGCTTCAGCGTGAAGGCAGAGCCCGGTGGTCCTCAGCATGTGAGGTGACCAGTGCTGCCCCACTCCATAGATGTGTGACACAGGATTAGGGATGCGCTGGTCTGGGAGAGCACATCATTCATGGGGGGGGGGAGACTACAGATAATGAGCCCTCGCCCACTTTTGAACTTGGAGAGAGCTATTGGATTTCATGAATACATTTGTCAGCAAACGGCACTTTCCAGAATAGAATTGAGGAAAATGATTGCCCGTATCAGCTCTTCCTGGAGGGGGACTTTCCCCCCTTCCTCTTTCTTCTGAAAGATTCGTTTTCAAAGGAGCAAAAGTAGAAGCAGCAGGACATGGTGGTGCCAGAACCCAAGCCCCTGCCTCTCCACCTTCATCCAAGTCAGCGCTGCTGCAGCAGCGGGGCCTCTGCACAGGACAAGAGCCGCTCTGTGCAGGGCCTCTGCTTGCTCCTGGGAGCCAGACTCCAAAAGGACAGCCCGATGGGCAGCCCTGGGCTCCAGCCCCCAGGGTGTTTTCCACATGGAATGGCCCTGGCCATGTTTGGAGATGAAAGTAGCTTTGACAGAGGGCCCTGTCCCCATGGGGCCTTGGCGAGGTGGATGGACAGAGGCCCTGTTTTTAAAACATTTCTTCTACAGGCCCCCTCCAACTCGTGTTACGACAGCCGCGAATTATTTCCTGTCATTGGCTTGTTAATCCAGCGTTTTATTTTGTGGTAGAACACATGTGAAAACATGGTAGCTGAAATCATGCCGATCCCTCCGTCCCCTCCTACACACCCACACCGCTGCTGCTTCCTCTCCCTGGGCCGCGTGGTGTGGAGGTCATGGCGTGAGGTCAGAATGGAAGCTGGGCCTCTCTCTAACCAGCTACGCCTAGAAGGCTCTGCCTGAATCTCTGAGAGGTCACAAACCACGTCTGTTCACTGCTAAATCCTCAGTACCTAGAACAGCGCCAGGCACGTGGTAGATGTTGCTGAACTGGATGGATGGATGGGTGGATGGGTGGATGGATGGATGGTAGTTGAGAGTAGGTGAGTGGATTGATGCATGGATGAGTAGTTAGGTGGATGGATAAGGTAAGTTTAGGTGCATAGCTAGATGGATGAGAAATGGGTAGGTGAATGGATGAACAGATAGGGTAGATGGATGAATTGAGGGATGGGT